AGGAAATCAGCTCTACGTTTTCATTTAGAGCAACTAAGAAGTGGAACAAACTTCCAGATGAGTTTAAAAAAGATGCAACAATTCCAGTATTTGAACCCTGGGAGGCCAGTGATGGGCGTCTTAATGTCATTACTATCAACATTCATTAGAACTGGTTAGTTTCTAGTTAACATTTTGAAAGTTTCTATTGTAGGAAATTGATTATTTTATTTTTAAACAATTAGATTTTCAAATCAGAATCAACCTTTATTGTTATTGCACAAAAGCACAAGAAAATTTACTTTTAATACAGCCCGTCCAAAGAAACACAAAGAACCAAACAGCATCATGGGTAGACGGGGGTGCCTGAGGCTGCAGCCTCATGAGAGGCGCTGCCTTTTTGTTAGATAAGGAAAAAAGATATCTCACACCATGTCCCGTGAAAGTTGAAAAAAAAAAAAAACTCAACACAAATTGTTATTCTTCCGATTTTGTTCAGTAGCACTTGTATTTATGCATTGTTTGGTTCTGCAGAAAGCACTTACCGTTCTGTAGTCATTAGTGAAATTTGGCTAAATGACCCACAATAAGTCCCGATGCATGCTCAATAATCCAGGTGGATAAATCTAAAAAGGTTGAGTCAGGTCCTCTGGATGGATTCTTTGATGAAACGTTTCGTCTTTTATCCAAAGGACTTCTTCAGTCTGAGGAGCTGCAACAAACTCAGTTTTATAAGCAGCAGCTTCTCAGAGTGGATCTGTGAGAAGACTAGAGGAAGTCGTCTCATTCCACTGGCTGCAAAGAAAGTCTAGAAATGGAAACGTGGAAGTTGAAGCCAAAATGAATGTCCCTGTAGACTGCTCTTAATTTTAGTCATGTCCTTTTTTTTTCATGTCCCCTCCACATAAATGAAAAGTTTGCCGTCAGTAAAAAAAATAAAAAATAAAAATACGCCTGTATATTTTTTCCAGTTGTTGACTCGTGTCATTTAAACAGTTCCTGCTGTTTATTCATTTTTCTTTCTCATTCGTTAATTTTTTTAAATAATTTTTTTCCTTAAAGAGCTCGTGTGGCAATGTGACTGTGCACAGGGGAATAGGCAGGACTTAAAGCCCCACATGCACAGACTCTGGTTCCAAAAAGACAGCACACCCACAAACCAGATGCCGACAGCTTTAATTTTGAACGATCGAACGAGATCTGTTTTTGTGTTGATGCTCTAACCAGAACCAAACGTCAGGCAGAATAAAAACAACATGCGTTGCGTCTGTCTGAATAAAAACAGGTAGACGGTTCCACTTCGTAAATTGGTTGAATCTCCGAGGACGTCTGGGACATTAAATCATATCTGGAGAGATGCTGCTCTGTCTTTGGCTCCAACAGGAAACACCTGGTGAATCACATCATGCCAAGTCAGATGGGATTCACTAAAGATGTGCCGCCCAGCAACCTAAATATACACACAATCATCTTCAAAATAAACAAAAATGACCTCATTAAGGCGTATAAACTTGTTTGCACGGTTCATTTACGCATTTTTCAAGTTTTCGGTTATTTGCATGATATTGACACAGTTGCAGAAAATGGCACAGACTACAATGAAGGCCAGATATACAGTAATTTTTCTCTCAGTTTTATATTTTATAGAAGAATATTAATGCGTGTAAGAAACCTTGATGTCCTAATCTACTCTAGAGATGGAGGAGAAGATGTTTGGAAACGGTGCTGGAAGTTTCACTCTGGTATCTTGTTGATAACCCACATGTTCATTTATCGTTTCCACTCGTTCAGCAAACTAGAACAACTGTTGCTCGTACTTAAACAGCCTTGAAGGTTGTGGTTGGCGCGAGAGAAGCACGTCTAGAACACGTGACACAAGAGGAAGGTAAAGGAGGAGGGGGAAGGAGGGAAGGAAGAGTCGATGAAAGAGTGGAAAAAGACATGGAGATGAACAGGCAGATAGACGGGACGATGAAGGGTGTGACGAAGATGGACTGACTTCATCCAAGATAACAGATCGCCATGGCGACCTGCCTGTCAATCAGTCTGTCAGCCACATCCACTCCCGGCCCCATTACAGCGCTCTACCTCAGCCGGACGCACAATGGATCCTCTGTGTGTGAATACATGCGTGTGTCCATACCCACAGGCCATTAACCGGCAACTAAGCAGACCCTCCCATCTCCTCTTCATTTTCTGACGCATGTGTGACAATGGAGTCCCAGTGGCTCGCCAACCCCCTCAAAGCCATCTCAGTGACACAGGACTCTTTTTGAAGGTGCACCTCATTGAATATGTCAAGGTCATCCATATAACAACGAGGTTCATTTTGTTTCCTCACACAAATTAGATAAACTCTTAACCTGCCTTTCAAAGTTATTCGTCAGTGAAGTTAAGGGCTAACGTGATCCTTTGGTGACAGCAAATCTCTAGAACACGGGGCAGGAGGAAGAAAGGGAACATGAACTATGGGACTATTGCTTAAGGGCAAAAAAAAAAAAAACTTGTAAAAAGTTTTCAGGAGATAAACAAAGGTGAAATTCAATGAACCCTGAACCCTGAATGTGTGTGAGTTTATGAGTGTGTGCATGAAGGCTGGGTGGGGGGTGATATGTGAGTGTGTGGGGGGGCTAAAGCAGAGATGAAAGGGAAGCCATTGCCTGCTGATGACTGATAGCATTCAGCAGAGCTTTGGCTGATGTCTGTCTGATAACACAGAGGACAGCTCAGTTGGTCTTCAGGGTAAAGGGGGACATCAGTGCAGCCAATTGGGGACCAGTAACACCCCAACAGTAGCTCAGGTTCATCATATCTGTGTAATTCTTGAGATTAGTCTATCTAAAACTCAGATTCTACTGGTACTGGGGCTTTGCCTTACAGCGTCGGGGGCTCTATACAACAGTAAACCTGAAGAAAGAAAGAAAGAAAGAAAGAACTGGATCTACCGTGAAGTTGCCACTGATGGTATTCGAAAGTTGTAATCACCTTAGTGTCGTCAGAGTGGCAGTCGCGATAAACAATAGATCGATTAATCCCAAGATAAATGAAAATTATCGACATGTTCATTTATCGGCTTTATCATTTCTTCGTGTCTCTCTCTTTTTACTGAAGACAGTGCTCTTCGTTGAACCCTCCCTTTCTCTTTTCTCTTTAAAATCAGTTTGAACTGTTCAAAATTGTGGTTTTGGATCGTTCAAAGCAGCTAAGCTGAGAAGCTAAGCTAAGCTACGAGCTAAGCTAACAGGCCGACCTCAGGAAAAAACCTCCGTCTTGTCAAAGCTCCAAAATTCACGATTGAAACCCGTGCTTTCGTCTAAAAAGTTGCTTTTCTCTGCAAAAAGAATCTGAGGATTTGTTTATTGCTTTTTTAATTAAAAGCTTTGTGTGAAAAATGCTACGCTAAAGAGCTCAAACCACACCGAGCGTCTGCCATTTTGAGAACCGAAAAACGGGAACGAGATACAGCCCATGTCACGTCAAGGGGCCTCCCTCCCATTTTTCTTAATGAGACGCGCTGCTCACTCCCTCACTATCAATTCTTCGGTTCAAACAGTCTTATACTGCCATCCAGTGGTAAAAAAAAAGTGTTACACACAAAAATTAACCAACATTTCTTCTTAAATTTGACAATAATTACCAATAATTGTCAAATTTCAAACAATATTATTGTTTATCACAATAATTTGTGAGAATTAATCACCCAGCAATATTTGTTATCGTGACAGGCCTAAGTTGCAGCAGGGCAACATCCTGCAGGACTTATTTAAATGTTTCTTGAAAGGCAACCTTGCTGAAACAGGAACATTTCTTGATAAAACTGATGCACAGGCAACGTGATCTCTGGATTAGTGGGCGGCAGACTTTTGGATCCTGTGGATAACTGGGTGGGACTTAAGTGGTTCAGGTTTTTATGTCACGTACCATTGATGGTATCTGGCCAAATATATTGATCTCTTTCACTCCTTAACCCACAGTTTTTCCCATTTGTTGGAGTGTGAGAACATTATCGCAGCAAGTGGTTTCATCTAGGAAGAGCTAATGCAACTTTTCATTTACCTCTATTTGTTAATTGTTGTGTTCACTGACCAGGCTAATTACCATTAGCAATACAAGATAACAGTGGGTTTATCTTCATTTTGTGCAGTTGAACACTTTGGCAACAAGCTCACTAATAGTTTTGTGTGACTTGATTAATGATACAAGCTGACCGAAGTGAAAATAAAAAATGTTTTCCTGCAACTTTTTAATGCAAGAGTCAGCAAAATTGGATGATGAGAGAACTTAAGACTTTCCAAAAGTTTGACTCCAGATCATAAATTGAATGCATCATAAGTTTGAACTGCAGCTGTGCCAGAACCGAGGGTTTCCAGCAGAACCGTGGATTTGTGCTGAAGTGACCGACAGTATGTTAACCACTTGACCTATTTATAATTTTAATGTGCTTTTAAAAAAGTTAAGAGGGAATAAATGATAAAATATGGCTAATGTAAACAAACTTACACCTAAACTCCTCCACACAGGTTCATACCTTAGGATTTCTATAAAATCAGCTCTGGTCATAAAATACTTTTAAAAGCCAACGCTTGTTTTTCAGCCACAGGAGCGACACAGAAAAGCCTCACTGGTCTATTCTCATTCTCAAAAAACAAAAAAAAAAAGCTCAACAACAGTAAAAGGGGTGGGTGAGGGGGGTCAAAGGGCACATGTTCCCGGAAAGAGTAGTCTCCCAGCATTTTTTAGGCCGTCGCAAAACAGCATTAAAACAGGTATGTCTATAGGAACCAACTAACACTTTGTTGCACTGGAAATTTACTGAGTACGTTATTTAGATAACAGGAAAATGTGTTTGTCCATGTCGGTGTTTTATGTGTTTGCAAATAACTAGATTTATAAATGCAACATTCAACACCACGTACGTGTTAAAGCATCAAGAACAAACGCAAGAGCTAATAACTCAGGGTTCGAAACCAAACCAGAGATTTAGCCATTTCTGACATAAAAGAAAAACAAACTGTTCGTACCAGGCAGACGCAGGTGATGCAGGGGTTGTCCGTGATGTTGGGGATGTGGAGGACCTCTCCTTCATTCTCACAGCTGGCTTCTGTGCCTGCAAAGGACAGGAGGAGAGTGAGAGGCAGGCTGGAAAAAGGTTGTTCTAATTTACATCTAATCACCCCCTGGGATCAGACAGACAAACAATACTTTTGCCATTTTCCTACTACGACGCCAATTTTTGGCGCAACACCTGTGAAATGAACAGAGTTGTGGACACTTTAGTGTTGTCTCAGTGCGATGAGCTGCTGCAACCATCGTGAACTGCAGATGTCCACCCACTGATTACTCTGAGTTTCATTAAAATCCATGAGATGTTTTCTAAAATGACAGACGAATGAATACACACAGACAAGGGCAAAAACAGTATTGCCCATTTCCCTTCAGCGGTGGATGATTATTCAAATAAACCTGTGATGGATACAGATGTGTTCTATATAAACTGTGTATAGTAGCATCAGGTGCGTAATCAGACCTTTTTATTTAAAGTTTCTTTGACCTTTTCAGTTTTATTTTATTTGTCCAGGTAAAAGCAGTGACATTCTCACCCAGCTCTTAACAACACGAGTCAGTCACTTTGTTACGAGTGCAAGTGTAACCTGAACCGACGACAGGAAACGACCCAGAAACACATGGGTTTATGGGTAGAAACCGGCAGATGTCAACATCCTCAAACCAGCCGTTCCTGCTGCTCTGCAGAGGAAAAGAAACGTGCTCCGGACCGACGCTCAGATGTTTTCTCATCTGTCAGATCTGTTTTATACAGAGCCCCCCCGCGGTGACAGTGATGGGAAAAATATTATTGCATGGCTACGAGCTGATGCGTGGATACAGATGTGGAAAAGATATGAGGTTGTGGCTGCAAATTTTTTTCTCGTTTAGCCAAGAGTTCTTGTAATAAGTTACACAGCATGGGAACTGGACGGGTGCTGTCTGTTTTGTTGCAGGAACTACTGAAGACGATCGTTCCGATACGGCTGTAGATCCGGTTAGAGGGATGTTTATGACCCACAAGGCCGTTCCTGTCATTGAGCCAAATCTGGATGAACTGGACTTAAAGGCTTCAGGTCGACGTGTCGTAAAAGCTTAAAGAAGGTCCTTGTACTTTTAAGGCATTTATTATATATCCACATGCAGCCTTGTTATGTCTCCAGTTCTTCCTGCTAGCATCTGTCTAAGCTAAGTTGTGTTTTAGAATAATGTTTAGATTATTTTCCAAAAACCCAACAAGAATGAATCAGTTCTAACCAAATGATTGTGTTTTCTGACAGTTGTTCTGAGCCTCTACAGAAACGAGGGCACTTAAATGATTATTTTTGTTTAATTTAGCAACAGTTCTCAAGCTATTCTTTCATATTTTTTGAGCATTTGGCGATATTTCATCAACAACATATCACATCTGTGCCTTGAGACAATACACAAATGTAAAGATGATGGCAAATTAATTGTTTCATTCCTATGCCATATTTATTCCATTAATTTATTTAATCTGTTGCTGCTGTTACACTTGAATTTCCCATCCGTGGGACAACAAAGGCTTTTTCTGTTCTATTCTATTCTAATATCATCAAGGCAAAAAAACATATTTACAATTAAAGAGCTAATGGTCGTTGAAGGACTGTTAGGAAGGAAGATTTAAACTAAAATCACTTCACGCTATGAAGGGACAGAGTTGTGGCCATTTTAGTCAAACCCTAAAACGACATTCTGTTTGAGCTAAAGCAATATTATGAGCTCTCGTATGATCTATTCCTGTGCAAAGTTTGTGTTTTAAATTACTTCCAGCTGCCATCACCGCAAATTTTAGCTCAGTATATGTAACAATGTCTGTTACAGCTACTTTTGTGTTTGTTGGGGTTGCTTAGCTGTTGCAGCCATCTTGAATGGGATTCATTCCAAAAGCTAAGCAGTTGTAGACGTACATGTGATGATTGGTTTTTAGGAGTTTTGTTAAATCTTGCTGAGTTAATTTGTTCATTTGAACACCTTCTGGAGAACTCGTTGGCAACTGTCACCACTGAGCTGCTCATTCAATTCAATTCAGTTTATTTTAGGGGTGCATCGATTGCAGTTTTCTGGCCGATCACCAATTTCTGAAAAGTCTGACCTGCTGATTCTGATTTTGTTTTATAAGCGACACCGTCAGGTGTTATAAGGTCACAACGCACCTTCAATTTTCTACTATTATTTTATTGAAAACATACCCTTGAACAATGTCCTAGAAACAATACAAACTTGTTTTAACTGGTCATGAGGTAGTGCTTTGAAATATAAATGAAGTGCAGAGAATTGTTGTTAAAACAACAACAACAAAAATTTTGTAAAATCAGTTTCTCATGCAAATATCGCCTGATTTCCAATTTCCCCAAATTAAGGAAATCGGGCCGGATTTATTGGTGCACCTCTAGTTTATTTATATAGCGCCATATCACAACAAAGTTGTCTCAGGGCACTTTACAGGAACATTCGCATACATAAAAAAGCCAATTAGTAAAGTTCTCCATCTAAGGAACGTTCTTATGTGCATCCAAAATGTCCTCTCTTTGACGCAATAACACAGTTTCTCCATCACGACTATTTAATACTGATCCAAGAACTATTTCTAAACTTAAAGTGCTGATACTGGAACACGTGTTGTAAACCTAAACTAAAAGGAGTTTGGAGCAACATTGTGTCTTCACTGTACCGTGACCTCTGACCTGTTTGGTTTGTCGATGGTTTATTCTTTAACTCATTTTCCAAAGCAGCGCATGCAGTTGAGACTCATCACTGACACGTCTCAATAATCTTAACTGGTTAAAAGCAAGAAAGCTTTTCTGAATTCTTTTAGTCCAAATTAACTGCAACCGTTACGCTTGTCACTTATAAAAAACATTTAACAATAAAGGTTCAAAGGTGCTGTTCTCACAGTACTGCCAGCTTGTGTCAGAGGGTTTATGGCAACATTTCTGACTGGGTGAACTTGGATGAATCCTGGTAGCAGCGAGCTGTGCTGTCTGGGTCCAGCAGTAAAGCAGCCTGTGGATTCGGGCAGCGCAGACAAACCCTGCCGACTCCACCACCACTGTAAAATTTACAGCCTTCGAGGGTAATGAAACTGGCAGGGCTGGAAGTGTTGGAGGGGTGAGAGGGGCGGCCAGCGGGGAACAGCTTTTCCGCTGTTGTTCTTCAGCTGCCGTTTGTCTGATTCTAACACGGATTATTGAAGCAGACACTGATTGTAGCTTCCTCAAACGCTCACGTTGGATCAACTATTTACCTTCAGGACATCCTTTTCAAAAGGAAAACAGATGACCGCTGAGAAACAAATGGAAATTGGGAATAAAAAATAGACAAAGAAAACAAAGGGATGGTCAGAGAGTTTGAGGAGACTTGGATATTTGACACATCTGTTAGTCACTTTCATCTTAAATCCCACAAAGGAACTAAATTCATTAGTCGACTCCATGTGAAGCCAAATCAGCGGTTAGCTCATGTCATACGGACATAAGACTTAAAATCAACATTTTGCTCTCATCACCATGTTGCATGTTTAGCTCCCACTGAAGGAAAATAATTCAAGTTTCTCATATGAGTCAAAGTTTATAAGAAATTGTCGGTTCTTATAAATGTACATTTATTTTCTTGCAGTCAGTATTCACACTTCTGTTCCTTCCAAATGTTTTATGACTTGGGCAAACTTTGCACCATTTTAACCATTTACATGATCAAAACTTTCACCTTCATAAATGCTTATGACGTTTGGCCTCCTATTTGAAATACATTCAGATCTCTTAAATTCTGTGAAAAAAGCATTGTTCTCTTTAAAATCTGCTCCTATATACTTGCTCTATTTTTGCTTTTTATGCCTCTTTTAGCTACATTTTTACTACTTTTACGCTTTAGCAACCATTTAGCTGATAATTCAAATTTTGATTTATGTGCCTTTTAGCTTTTACCTACAGTTTTGCTAATTTTAGCTCCTGCTCTGCTGGTTTTAGCCTCAGTTTTGCTTGTGCTGCTTCTTCAACAAATGTCAGCCGTCTTTTAGCACAGCCAGTGGACAGACGTGTACATTTTGCACTTCAGGTGACCAATAAAATAAAATAAAAACCCACAGAAAAACAAATCATGTATCCCATTTCTCTGAACAACAGGAGCTCTCCTGCAGGTAATTACACACGTGATGGAACAGCTGCATCCGAGTCTTATAAAGGATTACAAATATGTTGAGTTCAGTTAAGTTTGCTTAGAAAAATCCTTTTGTTGAATGCATTTTTCAGAAACACAAGTCAGATATTGAATTTTGTAAGTAATTTGAGAGATACACGATACTTTACAGAAACTGGGGGCAGGAAATATCATTTAATCCACTGAAGACTAAAAATAACTTCCAGACAAATCATCCACTGTTCCTTCTCACTTCATGCATTGGTCAAAAGGTGAGCATCTTTGCCCAAAACAGGCACCCTCCCCTCCAACCTCCTCATCTCAAACTGCTTCACAGCTTTACTAACCCCCCACCACCACCCCCTCCAAAAAAAAAAATCTTCAGTTCTGCAGACAGGTCTGAGAGATAAGAGAACATATTTGGGATACCAGGAGAAGGAATCAGAGTTATAATGTGTGTCTCCCCAGCTGATTCTGACAGTTCTCAGAAGTTTCAGGTCAAACTGATACACATGTTTGACAGGGTGGGGGAAGAAGAACATCTGGTGCAGGTTTTGCTCTCATCTTCAGTTCAGGAAGAAAGAATAAAGCAAAGGCAAGAAAAAAGAAAAAGGCCTGAGATCTGATTAAGTAGATGTTCTTTCTGGCCTTTTATAAAATGTATTTTTTGTCATGTTGAGTTGTGTGTCATCCAAGTTTCCTGTTCTTATTTATTCTCTAATCTGTTAAAAATTAATATCTAATGAAAAAGCTCTTGAGCCGCTGAGGATGGAAGAAAAGTGTTTCTTCTTTTAATCTATTTATTTAAAAAAAACCGATATAATTATAACCCCAAGTGATGCAAACTGTAATTTGGAGCAAAACCCACAAAGCTTTCATTTTTAGATTTCAAATCATCCTCTTTTTCAGTTTGTTTGATATAAATGATCCTGTCATCATGATGGAAAAGTGCAGAAAACAGCACGCGCTGCTGCAGGGACAGTTCTTCATGCAAGTTCAAAAAGAAACGTTACAAATGTCTAAGAAATAATTATCACGCAGAGCAGGTATACAATAAATCGCATTCTGTCTTTTATGCTTTCTTGTGTTTAGTTGTTATTCCCAGGTGAACCTGATACGCGGCTGCAGCGCGCGCCACATCCAGCCGCTTCACGACGTTTTACGCACGGTGGGTGTCAGGATGTTGTCATGGGGGGCCGCAGGATCCCTTTAACCTTACCTGTAATTAACGGGGAGGAAGACCGGGGCGTCTGGAGGAGCCACACGAAGCAGAAGAAAACCCTGCAGGTGGACCAGGAGGTGGGCTTCAAGCAGCGGAGCAACATTCTCCAAAACTTCACGAACAAAAAGTTGCAACGACTGAAAACTATTCCAGATGATCAAAGTCAGCGCGTGTCTTCTCTGCAGGTCAGGAGACAAACGCCGGTTTGCAGTGAAATGCAAAGATCAGACAGAAGCGCGATAATTACAGCATTAAATGACAAAGACCGGAGACACCGCGGCGGACAACGAGTCAACTCTTCAAAAACTAATCAGTCCCAAAGCCAGCACGTGCGACGATCCAGGTTTAAAGTGTGAAGCAGAAAGGTCCAAACCACAGTGACCGAGCGACTCTTAAACAGCTCATGATCCCGTCAAAATGCTTGTGTCCGTGCGCGTCCAAAGATCCACCGTGCGCAAGGATGCTGCATGTGGAGCGTCCGGTGTGTCCGCGCCGTGTCAGACCCTGACCTGCTTCTCCTCCTCCTCTCATATTAAAGCGGAGCTGGTGTCGGAGCGCACCACGGAGCCAGAAAGTCCTGCCTCCTCTGCGCAGGCCGGGACCTCCTCCTGTTTCCAGACGTCTCCAAAACCAGTAAAGCTCCCAGAGCTGCTCCGCTGCAGCTCCTGCACAAACGCACCTCCTCTCCATTCACAAGTAAAGACATGATCACGCGTTAAAGAGACAAAAAGAGGAAACTCGGGCGTTCATTTTTAGTTCTGGTTATAAAACGATGTAAAAAAATAATAATAATTAATTCAATTTATATGCAACGTTATTTTTAGTGCAATGTGTTTATGTTGAGCGAGTCTTATGTCGCTGTGGTCTTAGATGAAGCGGACAAAGCGTCAATCTCCACTTTACTCACACGCCAACTCAGTTATGTGACTACCTCCACCATCAGCTCTGAGGTGAATCAGGAGTGGATCGACTTCGAACCACCCGTTCCACCTCGATCATCACACGAAGCATCAGCTCACGTGTTTCAGAGAAGAAGAAAAAATGATGGAAGAACTTGATCATTCATTCGGACCTTTTTAAAACACTTTGTTGAACCTAAACCTGAAACGTGTCGCCTGTAAGTGAGAACAGAATCCTCTCAGAAGACCTCACCCATGATGCTTCAACCCAGATCCACCCATTGATCTGGAGTAATAGAAACGGACTCATTAATCCACCTCTTGTTGTCCCAGAGTCCTCCATCCATCATCCATTTTCTTCCACTTATCCAGGGTCGGGTCATGGTGGTAGCAGCCTAAGCCACTTGGACCAGCTCCTCCAGGGGAGGCGTTCAGGCCAGCTGAGAAACAGTCCCTGCAGCGTGTCCTGGGTCTTCATCTGGGTCTCCTCCTGGTGGGACATGTCCAGAACACCTCACCAGGGAGGTGTCCAGGAGGCATCCTAACCAGATGCCCGAGCCACCTCAACTGGCTCCTCTCGATGTGGAGAAGCAGCGGCTCTACTCTGAGTCCCTCCAGATGACGGAGCTTCTCACCCTATCACTAAAGGAGAGCCCAGACACCCTGTGGAGAAAACTCATTTTGGCTGCTTGTAGCTGAGATCTCATTCTTTCGGTCACAACCCAAAGCTCATGACCATAGATGAGGGTAAGAACGTAGATCGACAGGTAAATTGAGAGCTTCACCTTTTGACTCAGCTCTCTCTTCACCACGACGGACCGGCACAGCGCCCGCTTCACTGCAGACGCTGCACCTATCCGCCTGTCGATCTCTCGCTCCATTTTTCCCTAATTCGTGAACAAGACCCCGAGATACTTAAACTCCTCCACTTGGGGCAGGACCTCCTCCCCGACCTGGAGAGGGCACTCTACCCTTATTGGGCTCAAGACCATGACCTCAGATTTAAAGGAACTGATCCTCATCCCAGAGTCCTAACTTTATGATCTCAGTTAGCTGCACTGATCGTTGCTGTGTCAGAATAAAAACACAATTTGTGGAAACGTTCTTAATTTAAAACGCAGTTTTGTTTTACGTCTTCTTGATCGGTCTCTTCAAAGTTCTTTTCTACTTTGTCTTACTTCTGTTTTGCTCTGTTTGGGGTCATGGGGGGTACACACCGCAGGTCCTTTCAGGTTGTGTTACACAACAAAAACCTTAGCTTTTTTTTTGTTTGCTTGAAGCAGACTAATAACTAAACCCATCAGAAACAGTGTAACATATTTACCACAAGCACAAGATCGGAGTTAAGATATGGTTGTTTAAAGAACGTAAACTTGCATCATCTAGAGTCGAACAATGTTGCTATCTGAAACGTATCACTGACTCTTATCAGAGGGAAGGACAAACAACCTATAACAGAATGTTGCTGGTTCATAATTTCAGCTGTAATTTACACAAACATTAATAAGAAACTCCTCCTGTTATTAACAGGTTTTTATTCACAATGCAAACTCTACGTTTTAGCATCGTGTCCTCATAAATCTGCTGTCTGGAGTCGACATTAAAGCAGTTTGACACATAAAGCGAGTTGCGTGATGCTGCCTGTGTGTGCGTGCACGAGTCTGGCCTCTTTAAAGTGAAGCCCGTCAGAAGCAGAAGCTCAGACTGGGAGGAAAAGCGAGTCTTCAAAGAAATAATTAGGACCCACCCAGCAGCTTTTAACTGAGCTTCAGCTGCTGCTGGAAACACACACAAGTCACACACGGGGCTGAGGTGTGAGTGTGAGGAAGGATGATGGTAAAATGTGTCTGCCAAGAAGAGAAAAAATGTGTTTTAAAAGATTAAGACTAAAAAGACAGGATGTGTAACAAAAAAAAAAAAAAGATAAAGGGAGATTTGAAAAGAAAGCTTGTGTTAATGGTACAGTATGAGGAAAGGTGAATCTCACTGGTGTAAACCACTAGATGGCAACAAAGAGAATGGTGGTGGTGGTGGGGGGGTGGTCTGATCTGACCACATCCTCTGCTGAAGATCTTACACACAGTGAAACGTCTAGTTCACTCTAATGATTCAAAGAAAATGTTTAAAAACGTTATAAAGTCAAAATGAATTCAGCATTCCTTTTCCACCCGTAATAAAATAAAAGCACCGCAGTCTCAATAAAACTGAGATATGTTGTCTACTTCGTGTCCTGACCCTGTACTTCAAGTTAGGAATCACCCTAGCAGGGGTCTGCAACCTTTACGATCAAAACAACCATTTTTACACCTTCATTCAGTAAATTAAACGTGTCCAGAGCCGCAACCACCTGCTACACCTGGGATTATTAACTGGTGGCCCATGGGCCACTTTAGGTTCATCGGAGGAGACTTTTGTGGCCAGCAGGGGTGACATTATAAAGCTAAAAATGTCTAATGATTTTTAACATTTATGGATATTATTTTTTACAATTTACAAGAGATTGGGGGGGGGGGGGGGATTTTTAAAATTTTTATCTTCTTCTTCTTCTTTCAGCTTTTCCCTCTTCAGGGGTCACCACAGCGAGTCATTCTTCTCCATCTCACTCTGTCCTCTGCACCTCCATGTCCTCTCTAACAGCATCCATAAATCTCCTCTTTGTCTTGTTCCTGACAGCTGCATTTCTAACATCCTTCTAGCAGTATACCCACTGCCCCCCCCCCCCCCCCCCTTGGACATGTCCAAACCATCTCAGTCTGGTCTCTAACTTTAAATCTCCCAGTTGTTCATCCTGTGCTGCACCTCTGATGATCTCATTCCTAATCTTATCCATCCTTGTCACTCCTAAGGAGAACCTCAACATAGGTGAGACAACAGTTTTTTTAAAATAAAAACTATGAATTCTGCAGATCTATGTAATTTTTTCATTTGTGGAAAAAATAATTAAATCAAAAAGTCAAAGTGAGCATTTGCTAAACAAATGAAAACAGCTAAAACTAGTACTTTTGTTGTCGTTTGTATAACAGCCAATACAATTTATTTTTGTTAGTTTTGGTCAAAGCTTGAAAGACGTGCTGCAGAGGATCCAGAGTCACATGTGGGTCCAGAACTGCAGGTTGCAGACCCCTGCAGGTATGGGGTTTAAAATGTACTATTTTTAATGTCAATGTCTGGTTTTTATTCCTTAAACAAGGTTCTCCATTTAAAAAACCTTCAGTAAAATTAAAAAACAATTAAAAAAACATGGTACAGTACTATAAAAAAGAACCAGACACCATTCTTCCCATTATCAGAGACATAAGTTAGTGAGAACAGATCTTATCTGCAGGAAATTGAAAAACCACAGGTAAAATATGGGTTTGGCCTTTTGTTGAGTCATCGTGTTCATTAAAGTCCCTCAGGTTACAGACACGTGCTTCTTCCTTCAGTCCATATGACGTGCAGACAGGAGCAGGAGCCCCTCTGCAGCCAGTAGGTCTGGCTCTGAAAGGGAGGGGGGAGATGTAGGGGTTAGAACCAGCTGTTCTGTCTGCCTCAAGAACCTTCTGTAGAACCTGCGTTAGAAATCTGGACCAAAGAACCTGTTTAAACACCACTGGTTTGTGTTCGCCTCCAGTCAAAAGAGGGAACGTTACTTACACAGTTACTCTGATCCATTGGTTCTCTGACCAGCCTTCAAGTGATTTTTAATGATAAAGGATACCCCAGAGGCAATAATCTGCTGTCTGCTCAGATTATGGATCTGTCTGAAAGAACTATGACTGAATGCATTTTCAAACATTTGTCAGAGAGAGAGAGATTTTAAACACAAACAAACAGCATACAAATAAAGAACTATCCTTTAAATATTGCATATCAGCAAACACCTATAATGTCAGAGTTGTAGACTAAGTTTATCTTATATTGAGAAATGACACAGTTGTAGCAGATTTAGAGTTTATTATGAAATCTCACATAATCTGTTAGTGCAGGGGTCTGCAACCTGTGGCTCTGGGGCCACATGTGGCTCTTTGGTCCCTCTGGTCAAAGCCCGACAGAGCCGCTGCAAAACTAAAATAAAGCTGAATTTTATTTCAATTATTGCCAACAATGAAAATGGCTAGTTTGAGCAGGTTTCCGGTCATTTTCAAATATGTCAAGAATAGTACAAATACAAGGTGTAAAACACGAGTGCTACATCATGCTAGTTTGTTAGCCACTTTAAGTC